TACCCACCCTTTTTGGAGTCCCTGGGATGAGTGCTAGATAGTGCTCCATCAGGGGACCCCATTGTCCTGCTGGGGGACTTCAATGCTCACGTGGGCAATGATAGCATGACCTGGAGGGGTGGGATTGGGAGGAACGGCCCGCCTGATCTGAACTCGAGTGGTGTTTCATTATTGGACTTCTGTGCAAGCTGCAGTTTGGCCATAACGAACACCATGTTTGAACATAAGGATGCCCATCAATACACTTGGTACATAAGGATGCCCATCAGTACACTTGGTACCAGGGTAGCCTAGGTCGCAGGTCCATGATAGACTTTGTAGTCTTATCATCTGACCTACGGCCGTATGTTTTGGACACCCGAGTGAAGAGAGGAGCAGAGCTGTCAACTGATCACCACCTGGTGGTTAGTTGGATCAGATGGCAGGGGAAGATGCTGCGTAGACCTGGCAGACCCAAACGCATAGTGAGGGTCTGCTGGGAACGCCTGGCAGAAGAGCCTGTCAAGACGGTCTTCAACTCCTCCTCCGGCAGAGCTTTGACCGCGTCCCGAGAGCAGTGGGGGACATTGACTGTGGCCTTGTTCCACTCTGCGATTGTTGAGGTGGCTGTTGCTAGCCGTGGTCGCAAGGTGGCCGGTGCCAGTCGTGGTGGCAACCCCTGCACCCGCTGGTGGACACCAGAGGTTTGGGGAGCTGTCAGGCTGAAGAAGGAGGCCTACAAGGTGTGGCTGGTCTGTGGGTCTCCTGAGGCAGCAGACAGGTACCGGATATCCAAGCGGGGTGCAGCAGTGGCAGTTGCCAATGCAAAATATCGGGCCTGGGAGGAGTTTGGTGAGGCCATGAAGAAAGACTATCGATCGGCTTCAAAGAGGTTCTGGCAAACTGTCCGGCGCCTCAGGAGAGGAAGGCAGCAACTCACTCACACTGTTTACAGTGGGGATGGGGAGCTGCCGACGTCAACTGGGGCTATCGTCGGACGGTGGAAGGAATACTTTGAGGAGATCCTCAGTCCCACCTACGCGCATTCCGAGGAGGAACCAGAGCCAGGAGACCTGGGGATGGACTGTCCAATCTCGGGGGCAGAAGTTGCTGAGGTAGTCAAACAGCTACACAGCGGCAGAGCCCCAGGGGTGGATGAGATTCATCCTGGGTATCTCAAGGCTATGAATGTTGTAGGGCTGTCGTGGTTGACACGTCTCTGCAACATTGTGTGGTCACCGGGGGCAGTTCCTGTGGAGTGGCAGACTGGGGTGGTGGTCCCCATCTTTTAGAAGGGTGACCAGAGGGTGTGTTCCAACTATAGGGGGATCACACTCCTCAGCCTCCCTGGAAAAATACTGGAGAGGAGGGTTCCATCGATAGTTGAATCTCAGATTGAGGAGGAGCAATGTGGCTTTCGTCCTGGCTGTGGAACTGTGGACCAGCTCTATACCCTTGCAAGGGTGATGGAGGGGGGCATGGGAGTTTGCCCAACCAATCCACATGTTTTGTGGATTTGGAGAAGGCTTATGACCGTGTCCCCAGGGGCTCTCTGTGGGGGACGCTCCAGGAGTATGGGGTGGGTGGCTTTCTGTTAAGGACCATTCAGTCCCTTTACCAGAGCAGCGTGAGTTAGGTCCGCATAGCTGTTAGTAAGTCGGACCTGTTCCCAGTGAGGGTTGGACTCCGCCAGGGCTGCCCTTTGTCACCGGTTCTGTTCATTACCTTTATGGACAGAATTTCTAGGCGCAGCCGTGGTGTGGAGTGTGTCGAGTTTGATGGCAGGAGAATCTTGTCTTTGCTTTTTGTGGATGATGTGGTCCTCCTAGCTTCATCCAGCTCTGACCTTCAGCTCTTGCTGGGTAGGTTCGCGGCCGAGTGTGAAGCGGCTGGGATGAGGATCAGCACCTTCAAATCTGAGACCATGGCTCTCGACCGGAAAAGGGTGGCTTGCCAACTCCGGGTCGGGAGAGAGGTCCTACCTCAAGTGGAGGAGTTTAAGTATCTCAGGGTCTTGTTCACAAGTGAGGGTAGGAGTGATCGGGAGATCGACAGGCGGATTGGTTCGGCGACTGCAGTGCTGCGGACGTTGAGCCGATCTATAGTGTTGAAGAGGGAGCTGAGCCAGAAAGCCAGGCTCTCGATTTACAGGTCGATCTACGTCCCAATCCTCACCTGTGGTCATGAGCTTTGGGTAATGAATGAAAGAACGAGATCGCGGATACAAGTGGCCGAAATGAGTTTCCTCCATAGGGTGGCCGGGCCTTAGAGATAGGGTGAGGAGCTTGGACATTTGGGAGGGACTCTGAGTAGAACCGCTCCTCCTCCGGATCGAAAGGAGTCAGTTGAGTTGGTTTGGGCATCTGGTCAGGATGACTCCTGGACGCCTCCCTGGGGAGGTGTGTTGGGCATGACCTGCCGGCAGGAGGCCCCCGGGTCGACCCAGGACACGTTGGAGATTTTGCATCTCCAATCTGGTCCGGGAACGCCTTGGGGTCCTGGTGGAGGTGGCCGGGGAGAGGACGGTCTGGAGCTCCCTAGTTGGGATGCTGCCTCTGCGACCCAGACCTGGATAAGCGGAGGAAGACAACGATGATTTCAGTCAGCACAGTGAATTAACCTGGTTCAGTTGTTGAGCAGAACAAAAACATGACATGGAGATGACTTGATGATGCCACAATGTCACACCTATGGTATGAACTAAAGTAGAGCATAACTTCTGCTTTAGTTGTGTTGCATTGTAAGTAGAAGAAAGTAGGTGGGATTGTGAAAGACAAAAATCTTTCCACAACTATTTTGTCAAAATAACGGTCTAGGTAGGTACAATATCATATCTGTTTCTAAATACATTGGGATATCGGCAAACCGTAGTTATGATAACTTGACTTGTACACTGAAAAAGTCTTGAAATTGTCCAGGAACAGTCCTGGCAAATAATTTCAAGAAAAGAGTGGGAACCCTGTCTTCTGCCAGGCTTTCCCAGCAGACCCTCACTATGCATTTGGGTCTGCCAGGTCTACGCGGCATCTTCCCCTGCCATCTGATCCAACTCACCACCAGGTGGTTATCAGTTGACAGCTCCGCTCCTCTCTTCACTCAGGTGTCAAAAACATATGGCCGCAGGTCAGAGAATACGACTACAATGTTTATCATCGACCTGCGACCTAGGCTGCCCTGGTACCAAGTGTACCGATGGGCATCCTTATGTTCGAACATGGTGTTCGTTATGGCCAAACTGCGGCTTGCGCAGAAGTCCAATAACAAACGACCACTCGAGTTCAGATCAGGTGGGCCGTTCCTCCCAATCACACCCCTCCAGGGTAAGCTGAGCGTTGAAATGGTCCCCCAGCAGGACAATGGAGTCCGCTGATGGAGTACTATCTAGTACTCGTCCCAGGGACTCCAAAAAGGGTGGGTACTCTGATCTGATATTTGGCCCATAAGCACAAACAACAGTCAGGACCCGTTCTCCGACCCAAAGGCGCTGGGAAGCTACCCTCTCTTCCCCCGGGGTAAACCCCAACACACAGGCAGAGAGTCCTGGGTATTACGGTCTCGACTCTAGTTAAGAAAACCCAGCCCATTCAACTGGGTAAGCATTGGGAAAAATTAGGGAATGAAACGGGTTGTAAAATAATAATTTATCTTTCTTTGTGTTCAATTATAATTACAAGGATTTACAAACAAAAACAAAAGCCCAGCTGGGACCAGGAATTATTACACACAAAACAAACAAAATATTTGGCAATTCTTTACCCACTAATTATCTTTAACTGGTACCAACCAAACAACTAAGATTCTAAAGCTAATAACCAAAATACCACCAAGTTTAAAACAAATCCTCTCCACAGTTTGGACCAGAAAAGTGCAGAGATTTACTCTCATTTAAGATAGCACTTTCTCAAGATGTTAGCAGACTAAACCATTTAACAGAGAAAAGGGAGCGTGGAGTGGAGTCAACCCATGGGTAGGAGTTGCTCCTCGTGTAATGGTTCCAACGACGTTTTATCCTCCTCATGTGGCAACCACCATCAGTCCCAATCCGCTTCAGCTGCAGCTTCTGCTCCGGAGCTGTCCGTTGATGTCATTTGGGGCAAAGTTCACACAAGGCTGCTGGTCCTGAACTCCGCAGTCCTTGGCAGAGTCAAAGAGTCCTTGTCCCCAGAGGCTCAGAGGATCCATGTTGTGTGACATGAAAAGTAAAACACAACCATAAACTTCACACAAACTACTGGGGAACATAACACTGGGGCTAACAAAAAGCCAATCCCAGCCCTCCGCCTCTCACCCGGAGCAACTCCAGCAAAGGAGAGTGTCCACCCCCTCTCAAGGACTTGGGTTCCAGAGCCAATGCTATGTGTCGAGGTGAGTCCGACTATATCCAGCCATTACCGCTCAACCTCTGTCACAAGCTCCTGCTCCTTCCCCGCTAGCGAGGTGATGTTCCATGTCCCAAAAACCAGTTAACTTGTCCAGGGATTGGACCGCCAAGGTTCCCGCCTCAGTCGGTAAACGTGCCGTTAACGAATCCCCTGCTGTAGGAGTTAACATTAGCACTTTGTCTCCTGGGAGAAATTCGCGTGGTTTAGCGTTCTTGTCAAAAGTAATTTTCATTTTAGTTTGTGCCTCTCTCAAATGTTCACGATTGTGCACAAAGTGCCCCAGACAACATAGCTCCTAGGATCATTAGGGCACTCAAACTCCTCCACCACGATAAGGTGGCGGTTCAAGGAGGAGGTATATATATATATTCTTTTTGTAATTGTTACGTCACTCAACATTTTCCAGTTTTACTTTAACCTGTCCAGAGCTTCCACAGTAGAAGGTTCTGACAGACCAGCATCTCTCTAACTCTTCGTCTGGTGCAACCTGAGTGTAGATATTTAGGTGCACCATTGAGAAATTGAGTCACATTTGTGACCAGAATCATCCCATTCTAGAGCCTTGAACTTCCTGCCTTCATTGGAACATTTTAATTGCCACATTACTCAACATTTTTCTTTTTCTTTTTACCTGTCCAGAACTTCCACAGCATCATATCTGGGAAAAAGAAGAGGTTCTGACTGACCAGCAGCTCTCTGACCAAGTGTCAACCTCCAATATGGACCAGGAGGAACCAGAAGATCTACTGATCACAGAGGACCAGCCAGAACTCTATATCCATCAGCATGAAGGGCAGTTCCTTTTCAAGCAAAAACATGTAACCTTCGTAGGGACTTATCCTTCTAACGAAACAGACTGCCATGATCCAGAACCCAACAGGAAGCAACCCTTGAGTCAGAATTCTACAGAAGCAGAGAACCAAGATCAGGGTGGATGCAAGAAAGAAAACTCAGAATCAAACAGCAATGAAGAACTGACACGTAATAAAAGACGTTTGCAAAGCGAAGATCACAGAGACAATGTAGTTGTTCAGACACTGAAAAAGCACAAGAGGGCTCACATAGGTGAGAGGCCATTTTATTGTAAGCTCTGTGGAAAATCTTTCAGTCGCATGTCTTGTTTATGTCGTCACATGAGAATTCACACAGGTGAGAAGCCATATCCATGTAACGCTTGTGGTAAATGTTTTACTGCCAGTAGTGACTTGACTACACACATGAGAACTCACACAGGTGAGAAGCCATATCCATGTAACACCTGTGGTAAATGTTTTACTGCCAGTAGTGTCTTGACTAAACACATGAGAACTCACACAGGTGAGAAGCCATATCCCTGTAACACTTGTGGTAAATGTTTTACTAACAGTAGTGTCTTGACTAAACACATGAGAACTCACACAGGTGAGAAGCCATATCCATGTAACACTTGTGGTAAATGTTTTACTGTCAGTAGTAACTTGACTACACACATGAGAACTCACACAGGTGAGAAGCCACATCCATGTAAAACTTGTGGTAAATGTTTTACTGCCAGTAATATCTTGACTAAACACATGAGAACTCACACAGGTGAGAAGCCATATCCATGTAAAACTTGTGGTAAATGTTTTACTGCCAGTAGTGTCTTGACTAAACACATGAGAACTCACACAGGTGAGAAGCCATATCCATGTAAAACATGTGGTAAATGTTTTACTGCCAGTAGTAACTTGACTTATCACATGAGAACTCACACAGGTGAGAAGCCATATCCATGTAACACTTGTGGTAAATGTTTTACTAACAGTAGTGTCTTGACTAAACACATGAGAACTCACACAGGTGAGAAGCCATATCCATGTAACACTTGTGGTAAATGTTTTACTGCCAGTAGTACCTTAACTAAACACATGAGAGTTCACACAGGTGAGAAGCCATATCCATGTAACACTTGTGGTAAATCTTTTACTGCCAGTAGTAACTTGACTACACACATTAGAACTCACACAGGTGAGAAGCCATATCCATGTAACACTTGTGGTAAATGTTTTACTGCCAGTGGTGACTTGACTAAACACATGAGAACTCACACAGGTGAGAAGCCATATCCATGTAACACCTGTGGTAAATGTTTTACTGTCAGTAGTGACTTGACTAAACACATGAGAACTCACACAGGTGAGAAGCCATATCCATGTAAAACTTGTGGTAAATGTTTTACTGCCAGTAATATCTTGACTAAACACATGAGAACTCACACAGGTGAGAAGCCATATCCATGTAAAACTTGTGGTAAATGTTTTACTGCCAGTAGTGGCTTGACTTATCACATGAGAACTCACACAGGTGAGAATAGGGATGGGTACCTTTGACATTTGAATCGATTCGGTACTAATTCCGGTACCTAGGAATCGATACCGGTACTTAACTGTACCAATTTTAGATACTTTTGAGTGTTTAATATTTTAATTCTTTTATAATTAAATATATATATTTTCTCAATATATAACCATATTTGATAAATATCACGATAAATAACATTCAACAGTTTGTATTTTAACATCGACCTTTTAGTTTTATAAGCTGATAATTAAACTGAATTAAACATCTTTACTGTGAACTAAATTTACTGTGTATCTTCATTCCTTTTGCCGTCCTTTTTCATTTGATTTTTCCTACTGGGAAGTTAGAATTTCCAGGAGAAAGCGAGCGCACCATTAGCTGATAACAATGGTGGCAATGGAAGCTAACATATCAAGCTAACGTTATCTTAAACAGTTTTTTTAGCTGCTGGAGCAGATTTAAACAATGATGCCTCGCACTTGGATCATTGTTGCTGGTTTCATCTCCACCCAATAACCCGTCACATTTAGTAAAGTGAAGCCAAACATTAGAGCGTGTTCATGTCCTTTTAGTCGGAAAATTGGAGTTCTGAGGAGAAAGCGAACCCACCATTAGTTGAACGGAAGCTAACATATCAAGTTAACGTTATCTTAAACATTTTATTTACCTACAGGAGCAGATTAAGATGAGGATGTCTCACTTAGATCGTTGTCGCTGGTTTCATCATCACCCAGTTACCCATCACATTTAGTGAAGTGGACCCAAGCTTTAGCGTGCATTCTTTCTACCATGCTGTTCTGTTTACAACTGGCTCGCAGCGAGCGACGACATAACGCTCTTGCGCATGCACGGCTGTCTAGGCAAGTTCTCATTATGAAGGACGGGTACCGAAAGGAGGCACCGTTTCAAATGATGTGAATCGGTAGCCTAGTGAACTAGACCAAATTCTTGCTTTGCAAAGAATGGTCTAGGCATGCTCCATTGGAACCTCAGCAGCTCCTACCAGGACTCTGGCTAGCCAATCACAGCTCTCTAGAGGGGTTTCAAACACATGGTAAATGGCCTGTATTTGATATAGCGCCTTCTAGAGTTCTTGAAACCCCCCAAGGCACTTTACAACACAATCAGTCATTCACCCATTCACACACACATTCACACACTGGTGGGGATGAGCTACAATGTAGCCACAGCTGCCCTGGGGCGCACTGACAGAGGCGAGGCTGCCGAGCACTGGCGCCACCGGTCCCTCCGACCACCACCAGCAGGCAACGTGGGTTAAGTGTCTTGCCCAAGGACACAACGACAGCGACAGACTGAGCGGGGCTCGAACCTGCAACCTTCCGATTACGGGGCAAGCACTTAACTCCTGTGCCACCGTCGCCCACTTAAAGAGCTGTGATTGGTCCATAATGGTGGGCCAATCATAGTGCTCTATCTGCTTAGTGAACAAATCACAGAGCTTTATCCGCTTTGTGGGCCAATCAGGGCACTCTATATGCCTGGTGGGTGGGATGATGCAACAGAGTGAAACAAGAGTATGTCACATTCATTGTCCAGTGGAATGCGGAGATCATTTGAAAGACAACGGTAGAACCCGCCCCACAACCGAAAGCCGTCAATGGAGCGTGGCCAGACTAAATAATACATTTATTTAGTCTGGCTTGCCAGGCTAGTGAATCGGTGTTCAGTCGGTACTATGGAATTCGGTCGGTACCTTAAAAAGCACCGAATTCGGTACCCATTGCTAGGTGAGAAGCCATATCCAATTAACACTTGTGGTAAATGTTTTACTGTCCGTAGTAACTTGAGTTATCACATGAGAACTCAAAACAAGTGAAAAGTATTTTCCAAGTTTGGTCTGTATGAAATTTAGCCAGATATTTTCTTTACCTTTTTGTAATTATAATTGACCACTCTGAGTTTTTCATGCAGGCTGAACATGAAAATTGTCTCCTACACCTTTCTCCTGCATTAACTTCTGATAGAAAATAGATGAAACTCATGTATTTGAAAATCCTCACAGATCTATGTCACACTGTGAATTGGCATTTATGGACTCGACGATCTTGATTCACGACAGGGAAGACTTGTTGTTTTAACGTCCGGTAATCAGCAGTGGACGTCTCGGCTAGTTTAAGCTAACTGTCAGCATTAGCAACTACACCTCACAGCAGAAGGTCCTCCAGGCTCGTGTATTTTGAGAGATAAAATATCCATGTTGCAAGTCAGTGGTAGAGTTGCATTGCTGTTATCCAATCTGGGGCGAGATGTCCACATATCACGAAATAAGACTCCAAAACCCGCCGTCTAAGGCCTAGTCCACACGTAGCCGGGTTTTTTTTAAAAACGAATATCCACCCCTCCAAAAACTTGTATCCACACCACCTCGTTTAAAAAAAAAAACACTGTCCACACGTACCCGGATAAATACGATGTTAAGGACATGCCAGACCTGTAGGCGGCAGTACTTCCCCCGTTCTTAACCTCGTCCTTCGTCTGTGGTCTTCCGCAAGGAGCAGTAATTCCGCTTGCAAAAACAAACAAGCAAAAAGCGCTTGGACAATTGATAAAGTGAGCGCAGCTCGGTGGGCTTCCAAGATGCCGGCTAGTGTAAACACTGGTAGCACACGTGATGTCAGCATTTTTTGTCGCGGAAACTGACGTTGCGGACCTTAAAACTACGATTTTGTCTGTCCACACGCAGACACCCAAAACGGAGAAAACGCAGATCTTCACTTTGGCCGGAGTTTTTAAAAAGATCCGTTTTCATGTGAAAAAAACTCTGTTTTCGTGTGGATGACAGGCCAAAACGTAGAAAAATATCTACGTTTTGGCAGATCCCCGGCTACGTGTGGACAGAGCCTAAAGCTCAGCTGTGATGTGAGAAAATTTTAGGTCTGAGAAATGGTGCAACAGTATAATTGTTCCCCCTGAGAACCATTTACGAGGTATTCAATCCTACCAGAGACCACCGCACTGAAAAAAAATGTCACCCACTCATTGAACACATAAGCTAATTCCAACGCTCTGTTAAAGGCACTCTGATATTTTTTTCTTTTATTGAATAAAATTCTATGTAGTCTGTTAACAAATTAATCTTTTTTCATTGATATTTTTAGTCGTTTATTCTAATTTAGCTGGAAATTTTACATGTTAATATACATAAACTGTGGTTGGCCAATATTTTAATTGTTAAGCATTTTTCATTAGTCTTTATTTTCAAGGTTTGTTTTTGTTCTGTTTAGTTTTAGTTTCATCTACTTTTTAGTTTCAGTTTAGTTTTTATTAGTTTTAATCAATTTTTTATAGGTTTTTGTAATATTAAGTTACATATCAGTGACAAGACTGATAGTCTGATACTGACTGTTGGATAAAAACAGTATTAGATGCATGTAAAATGATTTTGTCTGGGTACCATCTGGTGTTTTTTAATTGAAACGAAGGTTTATTCCATGTTCATATTTTGTTATTATTCTGTGCCTCCGGCAGGGAGGTTCGACCTTGTAAGTCTGCAGTTCTGTTATCACGAAAGCTCCCTAGTGAAGTCCAGACGGAGCTTTTCTCTGTTATACCAAGAACCAGGGAAAGTTTCCTTTCTGTGAGGGGGTGGATTTGTGTGTGTGTGGGGATGTGCATGTATCGGGGACTTTGAGAGTGTTACGTGTGACAGGTTCGGCTGCCGGTTCGCTGGGGGAGGTTCGGCTGCCAGTTCGCCGTGTGTGTGTTCCTTTGAGAGTGGTTTTGCTGTGTGACCGGTTCGGCTGCTGTTTCGCTGTGTGTGTGTGAGAAAGAAAGAGGGAAGCGTTAATTCGTTTCGGTTGCTGCCAAATGTTATCTGAAAGAATTATTTTACTATACGCCCTCATAAGCAGTCTGATTGTCTTTCTAATAATTTTCATACTAGAACTAATCGGAGTTCTTCCAGCGTGTTTTACTAAACCAGTAAACAAAACATCTTAGATACGATGGGGAATACTAAATCAAAAGACAGAGGAAGGGAGAAACAGCGAGATGAGGCAGATAAGACGGGTGGGCAGTCAGAACAGAAAAGACAGAGAGAAGGGGAAACAAAAAGATAACGAAGGCGAAGCAGGGAAGGATGTATCCGTCTTCAGAAAACTATGCGATGATTTATCCCTTGGGCCAACTCCCCCGTCGTATCGGGGAGCTGGTGAAGTGGCAGGTTCAGCTGCAGCTGCTCCTTCCGCTCCGCCGGCTGAAAGGATGCACCCGTTCAAACCTGGAGAACAGTCAGAGAAGTGGGTCTCAGATGGATGATGGATGTGATTCACTTGGTAAACCTGTTATTTTTAAAGCTGCCGCTCTGGTGGCACATGGCCCAGGTCATGTGTCATCAGGGGGAATGAATCATTTAATTTAACTTGTCAAACGTTTTGGTTCCGATGGTCTTAGTTTAACAATATCAGTCCCTTTCTGGAATGTAAACCAAATGTTTACATTGGCAGTCTAAACACCCAAGCCAAATATTACGAACTCTTTTAGCGGTTTTCTTTTACTGTTTTGACTAATTAGGTTAATTTTGAAAGAAGTGGTTTAATTTTGATCTTTGTCAATTTCTTTGGAGTAATGAGCTGATTTTGTGAGGCTTATTTTTAAATTTTACGGTGAGTTCTTCTCACCACATTCTATTTTATCATTTTCTTTGGTCTTGGTGCTGGAATTCTACACAACGCAGTACAACCATTAGTGAAGTTTTGTTTAGTACTGCTACAGTAAGGGTGAACTGCCATTTTTTTTAACCTTTTGCTTGTTTTGAATAGGTCAGTCAGCTAGGGTTAGATACATGCATTCAGGTTTTTATTATATGATGTTTTAGGGGTTGTGAGAGCTAGATTTTTGTTTGTTATTTTGGCCTTCGTTCACCCTGAAGCAAACGCAGTGGATCCAGCCTGTTAGAAAATAGATTTCCTACCCTATTCAGGGTTCATGGTTAAAACTCTGTTCTCTTCTGTTGCTGAGACAGTTTTTTCTTATCTAATGGTTTTTTATTATGACTAGTCCATGTTGTTTGAGTTTATTCAGTCCTGGTTTGATATATGTTAACCTTTTCTTTTCTGTGACTGTTGTTTACATGTTTTGTTTTGACCCTAAGTCACCTTATCTTTAAACAATAAAGGACATCCTTACTAGTGATTTTGTTTTTCTTGGTTTACCTGCCATAAGCAGACTTCTTACCCAGTTGGGATTGATGGACATAATGATTTGAATTGCTGCTTTAAAAAGGTGTTCGGACCTTTTCATAACTTTAGAAATTTCTTATCAAATGAGTCTTGTCAACCATTGATGGGGTTATTTTTTGGGCTGGGACTTGATTAAAAATTTTAATCTAATTAATTACAGGCTTTGTAATTAATTAATCTCAATTAATCACATTTTAATCGTTCAGGAAAGTGTGCTCTCAAAGTAAAATTTTAATTAAAATTATGAGAGAGAATCAAACATTAGACATGGTTATTACTGTAAACTAAAGCTTTTAATAAAAATGCATTTCAGTTATTCAAATGTCACTGTGTGCTATGAAACAAAACCCTAAGAAGGGGATGCTGCAGACCCGCAAATTCGCGCCTGCAGCAGCGAATCTGGTGTGACCTCCAGCCTGATCACAACTTCCTCGTTCCTCGCTGCCCCTGATGCACTTGAGCATCCACCCCTTAGCTGATGACAGCTTCAACACACCTCGCTGCCAGTGGCGTGTCCAGATCTTTTAAAATGGGGTGGCCCAGGTGAGGCACAACTTTGTGCTTGGGTGGCACCAATGGTTATGCTTTTTTTGTTTTATCCCCAAGCCTTTTGTGGACAATGAAAAGCCTATTTAAAGGTAATTTAGTGTGGTGGCACCTGGGGTGGCCAATCAGATTCCAAGGGTGGCATGTGCTACCCCAGGCCACTCCCTGGACACGCCCCTGCTCGCTGCTTAATGATGAGTAATGCATGCGATGATGTTTAGACAGCGACTCGTCTCAAAAACATATAATTCCCCGACAGAATTGTTTAGAAAATCATCAGAAAAGTTTCAGAGTGTTTCTGTTTTAACTGAAACTTCTGTTTTCAACTTTAAGACATGTTGTTTGTGATTGTTTACAGAGTAGTGAGGACACGGAGCGTTCTCCCAGCGGCAGCCAGGTGCCTCTCGTTTGTCTGACTACTTTCATAAACTACTGTTAGGGCACAGAATTATTCTGTCTGGAGCTTTCAGCGCTGCACAGATGTTACGTAAATGTTAAAAATATAGCTTACCGCAACTTTTGTAAAGTTCCCGTTGCCACCGGGCAGCCGCAGCAGAGACGATCTCTGAAAAATGTCCGCGACACGGACTCCGTTGTTGTCTGGAAGTTTTTTTTTCCAAGTTAAGAAAAGAGGTGGACGTGTTTCCTAAATCCTGCATCAGTCCAAGCAAGGCAACTTCTTTCTGTTTTATTCGGTTTTAGTAGCCATTAGCACTGTGCATTGTGGTGTGCGTCAGTGATATTCAGTCTACGAGGAAATCGTGCAATGACAAAGGTTCCGCCGTGCTTGAAATGCAAGCTGCGATTAAATGCGTTAATTTTTTTAACGCGTTATTTTTTTTCTAAATTAATCGTGATTAACGCGTTAAAGTCCCGGCCCTAGTTATTTTAATTACTGGTGTAGGTTAGTTTAATATATCACGGAACATGAGTTTATGAATATGCTTTGATGTGGTTTATTGATAAACTGAGTCACAATTCTAACTCACTAATTGACTTTTGAGTTACTGGCATCTTACTCAGGTCTTTTGATATGACATTGTGTTTATTGTTATTATTTTATCTTTTGTTGTTCAAACAGTTACGTTCAGGGGGAACGCAATGCTAGGTTTTTTCCTGTATATCACGGTCCTTTTTAACACATAAAAGAATGTCTCAGGGCATTTTCTGTCCATCTCAGTATTTTGTAACTCTGTAACTGGAGGGGGCCCAGCCTTCTTCGTCCTGTTTGTATGCTGACCTCACGTGTGTGTGTGTGGTCTTGATTTTAGCTTAGGATGATACCATGTGGACTGAGGTGGTCAGTTTCTGGTGAATTTCAGCCCCACTGGGGCTCCCGATTGGACTGATTAGAAAGAATATTGGATGGTAGTTGCTGAAGACAAGTCACATTCCACAGTGATCTCGCAGACTCTTTTGTGCTTTCTCGCTACCGGCCGTGAAACCAAGGAGATTGGGGTCCTGATGCAAGTGCTGCTACCAGATGGGGCATCAACGTCACTCATCTCATCCCTCCCACTGCTGCGGAACTGCTGAGCGGGGCCGCCACGACTGCACCATCCTCATGCGAGCTCACAGAGGATGGCAGATAAGTAAACGATCTGCCTTAAGCTTGCAGGGTCCACCATACCGCTGCTGATGTTGGTGGTCGCACTCTACCCTGGAACCGCCCCTCAGCATCTGACAGAACGAGTGGAAACAGCAGCAGTTGGGGTAGCAACGGAATCGACAACTGGTGGATGAGGCTCCTCCTGACCCCTTCCACATGACACTGTGACCTGCCTCCAACGATGTCAAGTTCCAGCGCCCCAAATCTCCTGTCTGGTTTCATGGCTCCCTGACCAAAAAGACATCCCCTCACCGTCCCTGCCGTCAAAGGATCCCACGTTGCTATAACAACATCAAAGTTGCTGACACACGCCTTTTGCTCAGGATGGCTCTCTCTCCTGCCACACAGCTGGTGTGGCCTAAAGTGCAGCTTGGCTCCCTGCCATCCGCCTCACATCGCATGAGGACGGCGTCCCGACGAGGACATTCGAGCTGAAGTAAGAGAGTCTGGGTCTGTTATGACCTTTTGCCCCTTCTCCACCAACAAAAACCAAGCCCCTCACATCAACAGCCCCACCACCAGGATTCATCTGCATCATCATCGACGAAAGTGCAACACCATCCCAACGTGGTCTTCATTGCTCTGCCCCCACTGCAGTCCCACATAATCCCGACTGATAAGCCCTGTGAACCTCGGCTCTGCCCCAGTTAGAGCTGCTAAGCCCCCGACACCTCCCGTGCTTCATAGAGTGGCTGTCAAAAAGAAATTGGTATCGGTTTTTTGACAATGTTTGTTACTGTTATCTTTATCATGGTCATGATTTTCTTAGTTTTAAGCTGTGTTTAAGCCATGTTTGGGGTAAGAGAATGGTTGACAAGCTCATGACAGATGCTTTAGTTCATATTTTTCCTAATAAAGCTGGTTTCATTATGATGTCTACAATGTGAACTGCAGTTTCTGTAACCATTGTTGATTGATGTCCTGGTGATCAGCACAGTTGATTTTATGTTCTTTTATATGTTTACTTAATCAGTATAATCGTTGTCTTTTGATTTGTGGTATAATCCTTGAGTTTGATATAATCACTGCTATAATCATTCATTTTATTACAGGTTGCCAACTATTGGAGCTGCTTTAATTTTGTTACAGGTTGTTACTTATTTTTTACAGCCTTTTATAAAGGTCACTACTTCTTTTGTGGTCTTCTGTGTGTTAGAGGTTGATTCTTTGCAGCTGCGACCATTACCCGTAATCATAGAATAGTTGTTGTTTTTATTACACCAATTAGTTAGGATGACCATCGTTTGAACAGGGGGGAATGTTGGATAAAAACAGTATTAGATGCATGGAAAACGATTTTGTCTGGGTACCATCTGGTGTTTTTTAATTCAAACGAAGGTTCATTCCATGTTCGTATTTTGTTATTATTCTGTGACTCTGGTTTATTGGTCAAGCTTTCGGTCAGAGACCTTCATCAGGAATTCCTGATGAAGGTCTCTGGTGTATCAGGTGTAACAGCTGCAGCTTAGACATCTCATGGGGCCTGAGTGAGGTGGAGGAATCAGAAACTACAGAAACAGCTGGAGTTAGTGGACGTAAATTAGCAGGGTTAGATACACGGTGTTTATAAAAACCACTTATGGAGGCACCTTGTAAGTCTGCAGTTCTGTTATCACGAAAGCTCCCTAGTGAAGTGCAGACGGAGCTTTTCTCTGTTATACCAAGAACCAGGGAAAGTTTCCTTTCCTGGGGGTGGGTGTGTTTATCTTTAATATGTGTGTGCTTATGTACTTTTGAATAAAACCTTTTCGCGAGCATCTGCTCGCCGAGAGACCGAACAGAAAGCCACTGGTGTGTATCTTCTTTCTCTCTGATTTTGCAATGTCTGGTTGTTGATTATTGGTAAATGGTACTGATAACCTAACACCTTTAATCTCTAACCCCCTTGTGTGTGTTGGACTTTCTTTGGTAATCCTGGATTGACTAAATAAAATTACCCAACACTGATAATAGAAATTGCTGTGTGTAACAAAACTGTTTTCAAAACCATATTCTTTTTGAACAGGTGAGCTACCATACGTTCCAGGCAGAATAACAAAAAATGAACTGAACAGGATACAAACCAGCTGCAGAATGCGTTTTCAAAACAGCAAGTGTATGTAGGTCAACAGAACTTGCAATCTCTGAAGTAATTTAGATTAAATATGAATATTAGGAGACAATACATTAAATGCTGGTTCTACAGTTCTGACAAGACAATGGAACTGACTGACATCACTAAAACCACAATAATGCAGGACACTCCTGCACTATGAGATGGACACGTTAACAGCTTGTGTGAATCTCAGACTAGCTGTTAACTCGTTCATATTTTCCTACAAACTGAGGTCATCCAAATAGCATGACATGAATTGTTCTAAACGTTTGAACAGAAATCCAGTTCAAAAGATCTCAACTGTTTGTGTGTTTCATGCTGTGCTGATACATGTGTGAATAGAGCCAACCTGACCTGCCCCTGAAACGGACTGTCAATACTGCAACATAACAGTCTAGCCATCATGGGTACAATGTTTTAGATACTTTTTGCACATATTCTGATAGTCAATCACAGTTGTTGGAAGCTGGTTTGAAATATTTTTGTAGTTTAGATTTCCCTTAATAAATAATTGGGTTTTTAAGAGCTTTTTGTTGATTTTAAGGAAAACCTGTTGTTCCAGAGATGTGGTTGCTCTTTTTCTCTGTCCAGATGACAGCACTCCACACACAGAAAAAATGCATTCCACAAATGCTTGAGAAGCAAAATCATTATCTACAGGCAGAGCCGGATTAACTTAAAGGCAAAGTAGGCACGTGCCTAGGGCCTGATTGGCTGGATGGAGCCCAGACAGCGGGACAAAATTAAAAAAAATAAATAAATAAAAAATAAAATGTACAAATGTCCTATGATAGAATTTGTAGAGAAGATTCGTCCTCTCTACAATCTATTTCAATATTTATTAACTAAAAATAGTGACAATGTTTATCTTAACCATAGACTGTTACATTAGCTACGTAAATATCTTTGTGTGTTATTTTCATGTGTGTTGAGGAAAACATTTTTAATTTTAACAAAATCCAGATTAGAATCACAGTATGGATAAGCTGAAAATCTAATTTCATGATAAAATCTCTCTTAAATTTTATTTATTCTGGAACTACAGTTATCACGTTGTAACAACGTAGCAGCAACGTTGTTATTCAAAGTGCCGAATAAGTGACAGAGAGGACATTTAACAGAGGTTATAAAGCGACTTTTGAAGGACGTTGTAGTGTGATGTTTCAGCAGTGTACCAACAACGTCCCCTGTGGAACGTAGTAACCTAAACGTAGCAGCTACGTTGTCACTACGTCACAAACGAAACGTCTCAAAATGCGACGTTGTGGCGACTTTCTGTGTTAGTAGGGAGCACTCCACACACAGAAAAAATGCATTCCACAAATGCTTGAGAAGCAGAATCATTTTCTACAGGGGAAGGTTTTGAATAGAAAGCCTGTGTTGACTTTCACAAATCCAGCGGTGTCTCATTAGACACACCCTGTTTGACTTCAGTGAGATAATTCTCAATATCAGTTCAAGCAACAGGTGATTCAACAAAAAGAGACAAAGTATTACTACAATGTATATTTTAACATGCAACAAAAGACAAAATAAAAGGAAACTTGAGATTATATTTGGTATTTGAGAGTTGCTCTAAACATGAATGCAGTATGATTTTAATGATCACATAATGAGTAGAAGGAGTCACCGCTCATCTGGGAAAGGTGCTTCAGGAATTCCTGATGAAGGTCTCTGGTGTAACAGCAATATTAAACTCGTTCCTACGCCCTTGTTACATCCTCTGTAGTCTCTATTCCCATCTAACACTTTATAAATAAACTGAACTGAACTAAGAACATCAGGAGGGATGAAATAATTTGTTCCTCCAGAGAACTGATTGTTGAATTCCAGTAACAGATGGATCAGTTTTCTCTTTGTCCCTAAAAACCTGCAGCTGTGTGATTCCAGCTAAATCTGCTCTGTTGATCGTTTCCCTCAGATCTTCAACAGTTTATCTTTCCACTGTTATTAGTCTCATTCTGTCACCTTTTGACCTGAACCTGTGATCCACACCTTCATCTCTTCCTTGTTGTTGCTGGTCCAACTCCAGTCCAGTAGGTGGCGCTAACGCGCCTTCACGCTGCCACATGACCGGAAGCTGTTACCAGAGCTAGCTTGCTGTTAGCTGCCAGCGCTAGCTTGCTGTGCTGGTGTGTGAGGGGAACCTCTGAGGCTCTGCAGCAACAATGTCTTCAGCTCAGTCTCTGAGAGAGGTGATCAGAGAGCGGCTAACTGCTGCTGCTGCAGAAATCTTCTCCGAGTTTGAAAAAACCATCGTCCGCTACGAGGAAGAGATCGATCGTCAGCGCAGACTGCTGGAGATCAGCTGGAAACCACAGATCAACTTACACAGAATAGGTATGAAACAGCAGCGGGACTCATGTGGTTTTACTGAGGACACAATCTCAGGACAGTCTGCTTGGATCCGTTTGCTGTTCTGAAGCTTTTTGACACAACTGAGCTGAAATCAGTCTGCGGTAAACTTTGTTCCACTTTAGAGAAACAAATCAATAACATTTCAGGGATTTTGGGAAGTTTTCATTTTCAGGAACTCCACTAAATCAGTTTAAAAGAGACAAACTTTAAAGACTTGGTGAACGTTTCCAGCTGATGTTCTACAATCAGAGACTTGTTAAACGAGTCAGTCTGATAGATACTGAGTCCAGTCACACACACACACACACACACACACACACACACACACACACACACACACACACACACACACACACACACACACACAGGTTAAGAGTTCATTGTTTTCTAAAACATCTTCAGATGCATCAGATGGTTCAAGTGAAGTGTGCTTTCTTATTGTCACATGATTCAGCTTTTTCTTTGGTCTGTTTGTCTGTCCAGAACTCCCACTGCATTATGTCAGGACACATGAGGAGGTTCTGACTGACCAGCAGCTCTGGAACCAGGAGAGGACCTCCAGTTTGGAGCAGGAACAAGCAGAACCTTTACAGGAGGGACCAGAACCTCCACAGATGAAAGTGGAGCAGGATGAGCCAGAACCTTTGCAGATTGTAAAACAAGAGGAGCTCTGCATCAGTCAGGATGAAGAGCAGTGTGTAGTGAAGCAGGAGACGGTGACCTCCCTTGTGACTCCTGCTGGTGAGGAAAGAGACCACGATGAAGCAGAACCAGACAGACACCAACTCCTTTTGTCACTGTTTCCTGAGGCTGAGATCAGAGCTGCTGCTGCTCCGGGGTCAACAGGTGAGGGGGGGGGGGGGGGGGGGGTGCTATGTTTGTTTTCCTTACTGTGATGTCACAATAAGGGACTTCTTGAAACTGCTCATTTTAGGCAAATCGGCTTTATTTTAGGGCTGCCTTTTATGTGACGACTTTAGTCAAATAAAAGGCAAATGTGCAGCGAGGCTCCTAACTGGAGCAAACGGAAGAGCTCACATCACTCCTATTCTAACGTCTCTGCACTGGTTACCCGTTAACTTTAGAGTTAATTTTAGAATCCTGTCTATATTTTAAGTTTGGATCTAATGCTGGTGCCGCGGTAAAATAACAAAAAAACTGCATTCCACTATAATTGGTTATGGCTTGCTTCTTCAGTGATTCATAATCATATTTCGATACATTGATTGTAATGTTTTGTAAGTGGTCACAATTAGTAAGCAAACCAACCAAATTATAAGTAAAATACATAATTTCTTGCCCAAAATTCCCATGATGCAATGCAAGAAACATTAGCATACTGAAATATAAATGACTCATGACTGGAACATAATAGAGTTGTCACGGTGTGAAAATGTAACCTCGCGGTTATTGTGACCAAATTATGGTTTTCATTATTATCGCTGTATTTTTTTAACATGTTAACTAACTAAACCCTCTATATCAGGAAAATAATGTCATCAGTTTGTGTCTAAAATTTGTTATTTTGTAATCATGTTTGTTTACATTTTTCCCCTTTGTCTTTAAAATACCAGAATTTTCCCATAACTTCTTATTTTTTGTACGTTTGATGTCATCATTTTATAAACATGAGATCAGATTATACTTATTACTCAATTAGCATTCTAATCTCCCTTTCCCATATCCGGGTCGGTAGCGGGGTGGTGCCTGTGCTTGGATTAGCTGCGGTCACCGACCACGTTTTCAAACTTTTCAATCAATCAATCAATCAATCAAAGCTTTATTTATAAAGCGCCTTCCGCAACCCTGTCAGGAAGCCCAAAGCGCTGAACATTGTACAGTTGTATGTAAATATATTGAATAAATCAACAATAAAAGAAATTCAAATTACAAAATACAAATTACAAAATACAAAATGGAAATTACAAGATAGATGAAACATTCTGGTAAAGGACAAATGTGTGAAACACATTTGGATTGAGTGGATGGATTGAGTGTACCAATGAAAACTGTGGAATGGATTCAACATAAAAGAGGGCCAAAATCTTTTCTCTACTTACCTTCTCCTTGTCGCCTTGCTTCTGTCCGCGATCCTCTTTGGTAGTGTCCCGGCTACCGTCTACCAGACTCTTGTCCTTCCGTTTGTCCGCAATCGCCCAAGATGCACCGAATAATTACCTCCATGTTTGTTTACGTGAGCAGCGCGCTGGCCCGCAGCCAAACGCTGATTCCTACCTGAACGCCTTCAGTGATGTTTATCTGATCCCGGGAAAACATCGGAGGAAAAGGGGTAAACGAGTAGGAGTCCAGGTGAGATTAAGACTTCTCTCAAAGTGTGGTTTATCTCAGTGCTGATTGGCTCGAATAGAATTCTCGCGGGGTGGAGTTATTTGCATGCGAGAGGCATGGGCGGCTCCAGGAAATTTTATCAGCAGTTGCTGTACAGTTGTTCGTCGGTGTTTGGGGTTGCTGCCCCTGTCGGTGCGTCCTGAAAAGCGCGGGGGTGGGGGTGGTGGGGGGCAGAACCCTGGAGAAACCAGTAACTCTGTCCCCTAGCCAATCAGCATCCAGAATCATGATACTGGCCCAACTCTGCCTTGCCAGGTACCTCAATGGAGCATGGACTAAAAATAAGGGAGAAAGTACAGGAAAAATACCGAACCATGCCTGTGGAAACTAGGGTTGTCACGGTATGAAAATTTAACCTCACGGTTATTGTGACCAAAATTATCACGGTTTTCGGTATTATCGCGGTATTTTTAAAACGGTGTTGCATATGTTCAGAAAGCATTGATAGTCCTGTTCTACACAAACTGAAATAGTTCTGAAAAGGTTTAACAGTGTTTATTAAACCTAAAATAACACAAAGCCTTAGCAAAAGTGCAACTTTTCACAAGTAAAGGAACAAATAGCTTATTTTTCTGGAACTTGTTACAGTAGTCAGTGCAGGTTTAAATTATACAAATCCAAACATTCAAAACATAAACAATATGTAAACAAATCAAAGAAACACCACTTGTTTTCTCATATACTTGTTTTCTTCATTATCAAAATGAAAATCTAAAACTCCAGTCCACACTTGACTTGAGCACTGTACAAGTCAACCTTAAAAAATATGTATTTAAAATAAATAGCCACTTTAAACAAATTACTAAAATAACTACTACACTATGTAATCAAATCCAAATGTTCAAGTATAAATGGCATTGAATAAGTAAACAAATCCATGACAAGGAACTAATTGTATATTTCTCTTCATCATCAACAAATAAGATGCTTCATCCAGCAACAGGGTGTCCGTGACACGGTTTAAATGCTGCCAGAGGACGCTGCGGCTGCAGTATGTAGTGACTCGTTGCATTCTCCCTCAACCAAAAGTCCTCGCGTCATGCATTTAAGCTAAAATGCTAATGTTAACTTACCTTGCACTGGCTGTAGAGACGTGGGTGATCGTCACGCAGATGTGCCATTAGATTGGAAGTGTTGCTGCCTTTTGCAGACACTTGTTTCCTGCACGTTCTGCAAACGGGATAGCTGTCTTCTATTAACTGTCCCTCAGCATTTTTCAGAAATCCCAAATATGCCCATACTTCCGATTTAGTCTTCTTTGAGGGCTGATGGATGTCCTGGGCGCTGCCGTCTCCTCCTTCGGCCATTATTTCAGCTTCAAAGTTTTGGTGCCGTTGCAAACTAAAAAGTGCGTGTGCGCGCCGCGGGAACTTCAGCTGAAGCGACGGTGGCTGGTAAGGGTCCTCGCGCCGAAACCGCGGCCACGGTAAACCCACCGAGATAATATAGTTTTTTAAAAACTGGACAGTTATTTTTATTGTCAACTTTTTTACCGGGGTTTACCGCTATACCGGTTACCGTGACAACCCTAGTGGAAACTAGTCGGGCCGATCTGCCCCAGTCTGAGTTACTCTGACCTTCTGGGAGCTGGTGGGATTTCAGGTCACGTTGTACAGGGTAGCATGAATTAAGGTTTGTGAGGATGAAGCAGAAGTTGAGAGTTTTTTTTCCTCTATACTCCTTCATTGCCTGATCATAAGACACTTTGTGAGCAGTCTTCAAGTTATTGACTACAATTGTAATTTTGCTCTGTGGTGCAGCTACGACAGCATAGCAAAGTTTACACACCATTGTTACTTGATCCACGTCTGACTCCTCGAACCCGTGATGTTTCCACATCACCGAATTCGTTTTAACTATTTTCCACAAACACCTTTCTTTTTGCATCCATTATCCTCTCCTCTCAAAACAACTTCTGCCAAGCATTCCTCAAGTCTTCTCACTTGTTTGAGACGTGTTTGCATCTCGCACTAAAATGGAAAGTGTTTGGAGCTGTGAGTGCTGCGCTTGATTTGCCACTCAGAGCAGCACAAAAGTAAGCATGAGGGAGGAGCTAACAATCGGCTCAGTCAGTTTTAATGATCATTTAAAACCCAGATCGTAATTGAGATCAAAATTTGAATTATTGAGATGCATTTTAGATGCATCAGATGATTACAACTTAGTGGTGAATATATATATTCTTTTTAGGCCCGAGCAGTGAAAGCGCTGCAAAGGCCTCTTGTTTTTGTTGCTCTGTTTATTATTTATTATTCTTAGCCCGCTTTGAACGGCTTTTTGGGGACCTTAACATACCCCAAAACTCACAATATTTTGCAAACTTGTCAGGCCTGGCGAAAATTTTGACATTTTAAAGGTCCCAAAAAAATCGCAAAGAAAATGGCTGAACAGCGCCCCTAGAAGGTGAAAAATACCCCTCTCCATAAAGCTTAGTTTATCGTACAGTTATGAAATTTGGTACACTTGTAGTACTCAACAGTCCGCACAGAAAAGTCTCTTGCAAGCACGGTCAATATCAAACAGGAAGTCGGCCATTTTGGGTTGAAATGGCGATTTTTTTGCCGTTTTAGGGTCCGTTTCGGATTGAATTGCTCGATCATTTTTCGCACGGTCGTCTCAAAACTTGTGAAAAATTGCTCAGAAGGGATGGGCAAACAAAATGAGACAAGGATTCTGAGTTTTCGTATATGTTGAAGGGGCGGGACCAGGCTTCGAAGTTTGACTACTCGCCAAAATTTTTTAAATTGCTATAACTTCATAACTGAATGGAATAGAGTTACCAAACTTTCTGTGGTCATTCGTCATCCACCCACAAAGTAAAGTGAATGGTCGGATGATGACATCACACAAGCCCCGCCCCCTCAGGACCAAAAAGGACAAGTTTTACTGTGAAAGGTCCCAAATTGCCCCATTTCACTTAATCACCACAAATTTGTAGCTGGTAACTCAAGACAAGTGGGGGTTGCTTGGCGTCATTTTTTGGGAGTTTTCGGCAGAGGGCGGGGCTGTGGCGGCGCGGTGAAGTCAGGCGAACCGCCATGGCCTTACGTTTGCCTCCCATTTCATCATATCTAAAGATATCGTCACAAAACTTCTTGTGAGTGATCCTAGTCCGGCCCCCCAAAAAATCTGATGAGAACATCCGGTGGGCGTGCCCTGTTTTCTGAAATAGCGCCCCCCTAGGACCATTAAAATTGTCAGCCCCAAGCCATGCTTTGACTAAGGATTACGAAATTTGGTACACTAATGTGGTGTCTCAGGACCTACAAAAAAGTCTTTTGGAGCCAAGTGCAAAGTCGCACAGGAAGTCTGCCATTTTGGTCCAAGTATGCAATTTCGCACATGTTGTTTGGAGAGTGATGCTCCGTCGCACTTTTCACCAATCGCCTTCAAACTTCTGCTATATACTCTTAAGACATAGAGGAAAGAATTCAACCATCGGATTTTAAATAAGTATTAAGGTGTGGGCGTGGCTAAGCCTCAAACTTTGACCTGTC